ACAAAATTAATTGGAGTATGAGATAATTACAATAACTAATAGTCTGCATTGAAGTAATAAAATACCGATTTTTCTATGTATTGAATTATTTTTTATCTCTCACAGGACCTTCTATGGGCCGAAACGAATGTTGCCCTCTAAAATTATTCCTCATACAGCATATACATCCCACTAGTTTATTTCAAAATTGTCGAGTCACACTTCCCTAGTTTCCCTTGTAAGTTAAATTAGTGGAAAATCTCAGATCATTTTGAGCATTATTTTAAAAAGTACAAAAACTGCATAGAAAATTTCTCGAAACTTATTACGTTTCTAAGATATTCAAATAAGACTTTTTTTCATTAGTTGTCAAATGCGATTCACTACAAAATTATTAAAAAAAAATTTAAAAAGTTTTCGCACATGCTCAGTACAAAATTATTACTTTAAATACTCATATCTTGCGTAGTTTTAAGCGAAATTTTTCAAATTTTAAACTTAGTATTAATTTAAGTTTTTTCTAGAAACTGATTAAATAAAACTGATCTTGATTTGAGAAAAGATATTTTTTCAATACAAAAAAGGCTAAACATATAAATTTCTAAATTTCGAATTTTTTGTCGCTTACGTTGATTTTTAAATTATTTGGTAGTATAACTTTACACGAGATGAAGAAAAATATTCACGGTGTTCTGTAATCATCGTACTTAATATATATTTTTAAAATTCATGTTAAGAATTAAATTAAAAAAATTATTCGTAACAATAAGTCACAAACTAATTTATAAACAAGGTAAAAAAGGAAACTTATATGAAAACTTAACAAATCACTTGATTATAAACATCAAAACCTGTTTGATTATTGGAGGAAAAGAAGAAAAGGTTAAAAGAAACAATAAAAAATAAAAATAAAAACTTTAAAATTCATTCAGCAAGCAAAATAGTTTTTGTATTCTTATTTTATTTTCCTCAATAGTGATATTCCAAATTTTTAACACGTTTTTTTCCTTTCATAAATGTTGATCTGCGATGTCTAAATTGTATTTTTAGTGGCTATATTTGGCAAGTATTCTAAAAATTTGCATTAAGGGTGGCGATTACAGACTACCCTTTAAATAGTTCCGAATAATTCACTAGCAGACTCTATTAAATATACAAAATGTTACAAAATTGCACTTAAATTAAGTTATAGTGTTTAGTTGTTCATAATGTTGTTCATTCGGTTGTTCAATTAGCATATCTTAAGTGCTTGACTAAAATCATGAAGTCTAGTGCAATCTAGTGCATAAAAATCCGATCGGTGGTTAGAAAGTTAGTTCAGGTCTTGCTGTTTTTCTTTTTTTTTCTGGCTTATTTTAGTTTTTTAATGTGATTAGTTGAAGAAATGAATAATTAGCTCGAATTATTAGCGGTAATTAACTCAACCTAGTTTTTTTTATTCTCCAATTCAAGATTAGTAGTTATTGAAACATACGGGCAGAATCGTCTGAGGTGGCGAATTTCCGGAAGTTATAGTTTCCCTATACAAGGAATATCAGACAATAAGGAACATATTATGTATGTCAGTAAGCAGGAAATATCAACAAGACATAAGGCTTTTCTATAAACAGCTAATATTAATCATAAGCTTAACAATAAATCAATGTCTCACCCCGTTGAAACAGACGAACTCTTCGCTACAAACTGTTCGGTTTGGCTTGTTTGTTGATGAAGGACATAAGGGACTTTGACCAGTAAAACACAGGTTAAGGATAAATATAGATTGGAAAATTAAAATAAATTTCAAAATAAGTTTAAGTTACATTTAATCAAAACAAACACAGAAAAAAGCACTTAAACTATAGTTTTGTAACAAATTTTAAGCTAAAACGTTTGTTAAAATAGATTTTACCTATTTCTTTTCTTTTCCACAAGCTTTACGATTTAGTACTTACTTATTACATGAAGATGATCGCAAAATTAAAGTTTTCTATTTTTTAGAAATAAAATTTCAGTTTATTTTCTACAATATAACGTGTGTCTATTATTTACATAACCGTGAAATCGGTCGATGTAATTTCCTTGACTCTTTGACAGTTTTTGTAAACTCATATCATATCGACTCCCTGCCCTGTCCCAACATTATCTTTTACCCGAATCCAAATGCCATTTCCGCCAAATGCTCTTTCAAATTGAGCGACAGGTAGTAGTAATTGAGGCCCAAATTCCTAGCAGTATCATTTAAGTATGAAACCATTAGTTTCTTATTATTCCCCAGTTGTAAATTGTCTAATTGTCAACTTTTACGTTTAAGCGTTGCATGTTATTTGAATAAATATTTTTTTAAGTATTTCTAGAAACATAGGGGATTTAAATTAGATTTTTAAAAAACAAAATTCAGTAGCAACAGAAAGCCTCAGACTTCACAGTGCTTCAACTGGACAAACTGCACAGTACTTCAGTTTTAAAAGTTCCATCTGAGTTACATAATTTTTTTCAGTGCTTCACAGAATCTGTCAGCGCTAACCATGCTCTCTGCTGACAAAATGGCAACCGCGACAATTTCAGATGAGGTTCAAACACTGACATGGCGGGGAGCTGGTATCTTACGAGCTGACAGCAATTGTCTCAACGTTTACTAAAGTGCATTTATTGATTTCACATTACGCCGAAGAAGATACAAGTGCTCAGCCTCTATAATAATGTGATCATTATAGAAAAAAAAAGTTTTTGTGTTTAGATTAAATCAAGAGACTTTACTATTGAATTTACCTTCATAAGTTAACCACTGCAAGTCCCCAATTGGACTGATCGTTACGACATGGTTCCCAGTAGAATACCGAAGTCAAGCATCACTGGTTGCGGACTATGTGCGGATGGGAGATCACTTGGATCAGTCTACAAAGGGACCGAGGGTGTGCGGTATTGCTACTCGTTAAACTGTTCTACTGTAAAGAGCTCGACTTCGCGCGTATGACGTCGGGCTACCGAAGCGGGGGTGTCATCCCCTCTGCAGAGGATCAAAATTGTGATGGTATGTCTTCGGATCATCCTCTGGGATGTTTCCCAGACCGTCGCCAAAAGCCCAATGAGTAGCTCTAGTGCGACGCAAATAAAGTACAACAAGTACAACTGCTCTTTACTTATGGTCAAATCAATATTCCTTATTTCACTGGAATAAAAAGTTTCGACATTTAAATTGCCGGTCCATATCGTTTTATTAAAATAAGTTTGCGCATTTGAAATTGAAAATATTTTTATTTATTTAAATATATTTTATTACTTATTTTTATATTACTTATTCCTATATTACTTATTCATATATTTAAATTTTTGCTTATTTAAATACCTATAAATTAAAAATATATTTCCTGAGACTGCGACGTCTTAAAAAAGTCGAATGATTTATTAAACTGCGTTAATGTACCTTATCTAGAACAGTTTAAATATATCATAGTTTAAAGTTAAAACATAATAACACTAAATTACATAGTTCTATTTTCAATATTGATTTTAAGTTAGATAATTAATTATCCCCAAATGCTTAACTGATATAAGATTTTGATATGCATAATCTCTAACGGTTGGTTTGAGAGATGTAATCGTTTGACTTCGTCATCGATTTCGACGAATTTATTCTGTCGCTGATAGGGCGTAGTCTAATATTTTCTTATCAAGATTTCAACATTTTCTACAAGAACAAGTCAGAAGATTATAACTATTACAGTATTCGCTCATCATTTTTAGTTAAATCATTTCCTGAATCGTAGATTTGTAGTAACTACTAAAAATGGTTTCACAATCAATTAAATGTGACATTTTTAGAATAGAGCTTAACATGGATAAGATATTTTTTACTTCGCTGATTTTTTACATTATGTTCATTTTTCATTTTGAGTTGCATGTATGCATTGAGTTGCATGTATGCATTGAGTTGCATGTTGCATTATTTTGATGCTTTATGAAAGTTAAAATTATGAATTCACAATCATTTATTTTAGTTCATGAAATAGTAAAAATAAGATTTTTTTTTAAAGAAAAGTTTTTGTAGTTTGCAAAAAGGAATTTGTTGAAATTAACTTTGAAATTTTGCATTATGTACAAACTATTTTATTGAATCATTTTTTGTTCTTTTGTGTTTAATATTTAATTTTTCTTTTATTTTAATTCACAAGAAGAGCAGAACAGAAAACGATTTTAAAAAACTTTTCATTTATATAATGAAATGAAAAAAATGAAATGAAAAAAACTCCTAAGCAAACTATAACTGATTTTTTATTAAAAAAAGGATCAAGATGAACGTTATTTAAAGCTTTGTTCGAAACAAAAAAACAGTGAAGAAACGAAACATAAAAATTTGATTTAAAAAGGCGCTTTCGCAACGATCCATGAAAAATAGGTGTGTAGCTAAATTACATCATTGTAATGTAATTTTCATAGTTTCACAGAAAGTTTTTCTAATTCAAAAGTGTTGACAATTTTCTCAAAAACTATTCTATTTGTCATCGTGCGAAATTTACTCAGCATAGACATTGCATAAACAGTTCTACGCATTGTTCTTTGCGGAATAACAAAAAAAGTGAAAATGGGTTATTTTTATCAAATGAAATAAATCTTTCCCAGCAAATAAGAATTTATTTCGCAGTGCTTCCATGAAAACGATTGTATTTAAATAGCTTACTTTTCATATATGTATAAATTAAAAAATATAGAGAAAACATAGAAATTAATGAAGATTAATGAGAAAAGGAAGAAAAATAAAAAAAAATTTAAAAAGTTCTATATACTTGTAGCTTATGAGCATTAATTGCTTACAAAAAAAATAATACAACTTTCTGAAAGCTTGTAGAAGGCCTTTCAGCATAAATTAAAATTTTTTGAATTGTAAAATCTTTTCGTGAAACTATAGGGACTGAAAATGCTGCACTAATACTTCGCAATGCAATAGCATTCTAACTTGAAAATTAGTTTTCCTTGAACTTATCGATAAATTTGTAATCAAATGAAAAAATAAGTAGACATGATACCTATTGCGACGAAATGTAGCAAAGGATCAATAATAAATTTTGCTTGGAAGATTTTATTGAAGAATTTACTATGTCATTGAGGAATTTATTTCGTATTTTATCAATCATCGTGATGATTTTATTAGGTAGTATGATGAAATAATAACTTTCTTTTAAATTTGTTTATTGAACAGGTTTTCCTTTTTGTAGCTCCTAATATAGTGTTTTTTAACTAATGATTTTATTTAACTATTAATCTGTTCTTGAAAAAGTGACTATAAAACCTCTGATTACTGGCTACTACATATTAATTTGAAATCAAGTTCTAAAATTAGACCTATTAAAACACTAAGCGTTTGCGCAAATTTATGTAAAAATTTCAAGTTAATAACAGAAAGTATTTTAAGTGCAGAAGTTAATGCAACTAAGTTGAAAATGGTTAACAAAATTGACGACAAATGTTTCAGTGATTAGGGAATATAAATTATTGAAGAATTTTTTTTTAACGTTTTACATTAGATAGAGATTTCGTAATGATTTAATCTAAATTATGAAATCTAATTCAATTATTTAACGAAATCAACTTATTTTTTTAATGGAATGGAGATATAGTAATTTAAGTAACAAGATTTTACCAGAGAACATGTGTTTTAATTTATTACACTAAGTGGCTAAGCCCTCTGATCGCTGCTGCTCACTAACCCAAAGGATTGCTTTGCCATAATTGTTGCTTCTTGTCAGAAAACAGTTCTACTAAAATTAAAATTATTCGTCTTAGTACTATCTATATATGTACTATCAAGAATTCTGTTTGCTTACGCTTGTGCCTCTACTTTCTACGTCCAAATATTATTATCTATTAGTATTACAAGTATTTAGATCTATGGGTGAACAGAAGTAATTTTTCTAAGTAATTAATTTTTTAAAATACCATTTATATTGTTACAACATTAAATTGCTCAAATAAATTTGATGAGTCTACAACCGTAATTTAATATTTTGGGAAAAATATACTTGAGGGTGCCCCTTGATGAAATAGGCGACTTATGTTTGGCGCCATACTTGTTTGCCCGGTAACCCACAAGCAGGACATTTATATCTATTACTAATTAAACCTTCATTCATACACCAGTCAATCACTGTTATTAAAATCGTACAGAAGCTTAAGATTTATCTTATTGACAGTATTCATTTTTAGTACCAGAAGCAAAAATAACCTTACCAGCCGGTATCCAAAGTAGAATCACGATTAAAATCTAAACCAATCAGAATCACAATTGGTTTTCAACATCGCCCAGCTTGGCGATCAATCGCGATCACAACTTGGCGGGGGCATCCTCAAGTATAGTCTACCCAATATTTTCTCTTTCCAAACAGGCGGATATATTAAATGCTATATTTGCATCATTGTGCATGAAGCTGGTTGTTAAGTTCTAAATCATTTAACAGATCCCTTTAACTTTAAATTATAATAGTATATTATTGTTATTTGCAATTGTAAAACGGTTAATAATATCATAACACCTTTCTAAATAACTATATCATAAAATGCAGTGCAAAATTACAGTATAATAATGAGAAAAAACAACAACAATTCTCTTAGTTTTAAGCTCTTGAATTAAAAGGGTAATAAAAGCAGTACAGGAAAATAACTTTAAATTAGTGATACAAAACAATTTATAGAAAAACACTACCTTTATGATTTTTATTAATTTTATGCTGATGACAACGAAAGAAATATGGAAATGAAAGAGGAAAAACTGGATCCTACTACGTGATTTTCCAGCCAATAAAAACGCAATGACTAGAGCCCCTGAATCATAGTATAGGAGCCTTAGCAATTAAGGCTCCTATACTATAATGTCTACAATATGTCTAATTCAGGGGCTCTATAAGCAATGACAACAATGGAAAACTGTGACATCATCCTTAGATTTTTATCTATGGTAAGATAACCAATTAACATCGGAATATTTTATTGTGATGAAGTAAAAAGTGCAATTATAAAAAGAGCAGTAGTTCATTAATATGTTATTTAAATTAACCTGGGAAAGTGTTGTATTAGCTACCACCTAAGTTTGATTGTTGATGTTGTTAATTTACGTCACACTAGAGCTGCACAATGGGCTATTGACGACGGTCTGGGAAACATCCCGGAGGATGATCCGAAGACATGCCATCACAATTTTGATCCTATGCGGAGGGGATGGCACCCCCGCTTCGGTAGCCCGACGACCTGCGCGCGAAGTCGAGCACTTTACAGTAGCGCAGTTTAACGAGGACCAATAACGCACAACCTCGGTCCTTACGCAGACTGATCCAAGTGGTCACCCACCCGCACACTGACCGCAGCCAGTGATGCTTGACTTCGGTGATCTGCTGGGAACCGTGTCTTAACGATCAGTTCACTGCGGCACCACCTAAGTTTGAAAAAGAAATCATAGTTCCATGATTATACATTAGAACTAGAAGCTTAATATTGCTGATAACGAAACGGAGACATACTGTTTCTTTTTTTCCTTCTTTTTTTCCCATTCAATTAGTAGGATCAGAAATTTAAAAATGAAATTAATAGGCTACTAGATTTTAAGTTTTCGAAGAAAAAAAAAAGGAAGAAACTGGTAAGTTTTTTAGGCAAGCGGTTGTTATAAGCTTGATGAAATTTTTTATTTTTCATTTTAAACAAGTAATATATAAAAAAAAATAATAAAGTCAATTCCTTCTTAGGTCAACAATGAAAAATTTTATTTTAATTACTTTTTATTAAATAATTAATACTTTCTTCTCCCATATAAAACTAAAATCAAAATATTAAATTTAATTAATGAATTAATATTTGAAAAAAACTTTATTAACATCAAGTTTCATCCACTGCAAGTTTTAAAGAACTGTATTTGAACTTTAGTGTATGAATAAAAAGTATTTTATTAACAATTGATAATTTGAACAAGATACAGCGAAAGTGTGAAAAAGACACGTGCTCTACTTTTCTTAAATGCAAGATTTTCATTTCTTTTTCAATTGTGGTACAAAACCACTGAAATAAACTTTTCAATTTAATTTGACCCGTCACAATCAGTTTAAAATGAGAGTAATAAAACAATCACACAGAGGAAATAACTCAGGAAATGGCAGTAAAGAGAGAGTTCATTTTTAAGAGATCAGCGAATCTCAGCTGACGAATACTGATTTCAGAAATGCTCACTTGCAATAAATTTTTATCCCCATCCTGTATTTTGAGATAAGATATCAGCTGCATTTCGACTGACTCAATGTTTCTTTGTATAAATAAACTTTTTCTAAGACTAGACAGACATTTACATGTTTTCTCTCTTTCATTTTTTAGGGAAAATTCGAGGGGGGAAAAGGACAAATCGCCAGAAAATATATATAATATTATATTCGTTATTAAAGAGGTAAAATTGAGTTTAAAATAAGAAATAGATAAATGATCTAGTTCAATTACAAATGATCTAGTTCCATTACAAATTGTTTCTTTGTGTAAATAAATTTTTCCTAAGACTAGACAGACATTTACATGTTTTCCCTCTTTCATTTTTTTAGGGAAAATTCAAGGGGGGAAAAGAACAAATCGCCAGAAAATATGTATATTATTATATTAGTTATTAAAGAGGTAAAATTGAGTTTAAAACAAGAAATAGATAAATGATCTGAACAAGATATTACAAGATAACAAGATATTACAAAAACAAATGGAAAAAAAGCGCTACTGAATAAAAAAAAAATTGATTTTTTTAAGTCTCCGTATTCAAAACTGCTTCATTTTGTACATTTGTATATCAGATTTGAAAACTGATTGTATGAAGACATGATATTTCTAAGTTGTTTTCGTATGTAGGAAATCACTTATATTTACAAATAAATAAAGATATTTATTAGTTTGAAATTCTCTTTCTGTGTAAATCATACTGAATTTTCACATTTACGAACGATTACGTACATCAATACGATAGCAGTTGAAGAAACTAAGAATAACAATACATAATTACCGAAAAAGTATCTGAAATGACCTTGTATATACAAAAAACTGAATCCTTGAAATATAGCAAACTAAAACATTTTTGATAAATTTCCAAAAAACTATTAATAAAAGCCTAATACTATATTGAAATTTTATTAATAGTTTTTTAGAAATTTATGAAGAATGTTTCAGTTAGCTATATTTTCGGGATTAAGTTTTTAGAAATACAAGAACATTTCTGATACTCTTTAGGGGACTTTGTACAGTATTAACTTCAACTGGTATCGTTTTGTACTATACTATAATGATACTATACTATATTGTAATTTCTATTGTAATTATATGCTATATTGTAATTTGTATTTAATTTGTATTTTATTGTAATTTGTATTGTATTGTAATTTGTGCTCTATTGTAATATATATTATATTGTAATTTAGCTATCCATATATCGAAACATAATAAAGGATATTCGCAGTAGCTTGCTGTTCTGCATCCGTTGTCTTCTCTGCAGAGTTCACCATATTTTAGCCGACAGTCCTGAGAGCAACAAGGTCCTTGACTCGGGCTGCAAAATTTTAAAGAAAATACTTTTTTACTCACCGCTTTCATGTTATTGCTGTAGCTTAAAGCAATAATTACAATTTCTAGGTTGACATTTTGAGAATTTTTTTCGAAACTGGAAAATTCAAAGCTCCTCCAAAAGCACTTATTTATGTTAAGATTAAAAAGGAATACGCTTCTTTTCAAAACAGTTGTAACAGTAAAAAGCAAATTGTAATACCAATTTAAGAATACACAGGATGTTCCAGAATGTTAGTACTTAATGTATATTTTTCACATCAGTGTCAAAAATAAAGTCGAGTAATGTACACATTGTGGATCGCAAATAATTATTTAACCGATGGGAAAAAACTGTTACATATTATTGTAGAATGCAAGGTTAAAAATATCAAAATATGTTTGTTTGTCTGAGAAAATAGTGAGAGGATGAAAGGTGATCATCAGAAACAACTTCTAATTTTGTTTGAAATTCAAAATAGTATTGATATCTTTAATCTCGACTTCTTCAATATTGATTGAATAATTGCTGATAACGGTTAAACATTATTTTACAACCCTTCACGTGTATATAATTTCAACTTAATTTTTTACAGAGATTTTAGAAATATAGATTGAAGACGGTAACTGCAGAACACCTTGCATAGTTTTCGAAAAAGTAACCTTGTTTTCAACAGTCATAGTAATTATCTTTGTTTGAGAAAATGTTCTTACCTATACAACTTAAAAAGCTTCCAAGAATGTCTCAGTTTTAAACTGCAATTGATTTCTCCTGAATATACACAAAATGATGAATACGCCTCGATACTGCTTTTTAGAGTAATGAGGCATTCAAATGTACACTTTAAGTACCCAGTGCCTGATTTATCATAATTCCAGATAGGCCCAGGCTTACGGTCTCCTCATTCCTAAGGGGTTTCCTAAATGTTACAAATAATCTCCTTTTGTGATTTTCCTTAATAGTCAATTAAAATTATGAGTTTTTGAAACAAATAATAAATTCATGTTTACTAATATATCGTATTTACTTACATTATAAATAATTTAAAAACACTTTGTAATTAAATAACAGGTAAATTATAGGTAAATTTCGTTTAAAGTAGCGGACAGAGACCCCTGACAGTTTTGTGCATAGGACCTCCTAATTTCTAGATCAGGCCCTGAAAGTACCAATAGTATGCCTAAAAACTCAAATTGAAGAGCCAGGCATTCTTTGACAATACAGTGCAGTAATAAGAACTACATTTCGATTTTACTAAATTGAAAGATAAAAATATATCGTTTAACCTTACTTAAGTCAAAATTCTTGATGGTCACATAAAAAAATTTGATGATTTGCGTTTGTTTCATTGCGATTCATGACGGTCACCATCATGCAGCAATTTCCATTATTCGTTCATGGTTTTTGATATGTCTACGAATCATTTATATATCATTCCAAGATGGAAAATTCTACTTTAATGTTATGATGGTTAACCGTTAAGAGAAATTTGATTCTCCTGGACTAACAATCCATGATGATCCGTGATGATCCATCATAGTTCTAACTATACATTTCCATGATGGTTTAATGGGAATTCTTGTTTGGTTCTCAGAAATATACCATCAAAACAAATAAGTTTTTTATGTGGGCCCATCATAAATGAGTACGAATTCCAACATTGGAATGATGGTGGTTCATGATCATTCCAACATTTGATTTCTAAGATACTATGATTGAAATTCTTGATGGTCCTTAATGGTACAACAATGCACTTCCATGAGGGTTTAGTAACAGTTCTTGTTGGTTCAGCAGGAATATACCATCAAAACAATTAAGCTTTTTTATGTTGGCCCATCATAAATCCACCCGAATCACTACATTGGGGTAATGGTGGTTCATGATCATTCTAACATTTAATTTCTAAGAAACTATGATGGAAACAATGGGGACAAGTTGCTATTCTTATGTTAGACCACCATAGATCAATCCAAATTTCTTTTTTGGGGTGATGATTATTTATGTTGGTTACCATCAAAAAATATAATGGCTCATGGTGGTTATTGATGGGTACCATCAAGATTATGTTGGTTCATCAATGAAAAACCACCAAAAATTTAGACATGGCTAACTAGCAAAGACTTTATAGTACGTACCTGCAGAAAGCAATGGGTCTTAGTCTACATGGAGGTTGGTCTTGGGGTGGATTCACTCGCATCGGAAAACAGCAAGGCTCGTGACAGTCCTCTTCCCAGCCACAGTCACATTCCTCAGCTCCTTCTACTACCTCATTCCCGCACACTGCATCTAGTGGCTCTGCAAGAACAAATGATACCATTTAACACATTGCACCAGTAGTGATCCCAGGTAGCAGAGAATTATCAATTTTACGTCAAAAATACGTATATTTCACCTTTAAATCATACTAAGCATTCGTAAAATTTACGTAGAAGTGAAACGCCGAATTATAGCTAAAAATTGTTATCCTAAAACGGAAAATTTATGTAACATTTTAAGCAAACAAATTCGTTTATTTTAAGAATATTTTACCAACCACTTTTTACTAGGTAAGAATGAATACGTAATTTTTAAATATTATTTACGTCAACAGTACGCCGAAATGCACGTAAGTTGAAACGTCAAATTATAAAAAAATGTGGTTATCCAAAAAACAGAAAATTTCCGTAAATAAATTTGAACCGAAATTTAAATGGTAAATTTGCTTTGTAAATAATGCGTAAAATACACAGAATCTTTCATACTAAATCTAAATAGTAAATATAATACTTTCGTCAATCTTTCGTGAAATATACGAAAACAATCTCACCGAAAGGTAGTTAGTAAAATCCCATTCCGTTAAAATTACGTAAAATATACCAAAGCTCTTTTACCAAATATCTCAATAGTAATATCATTCCGTCAATATTACGTAAAATTTATGTATAAAGCGTATTGACTTCACCGATTTCCCGAAAATTTATATATCATGCTACTAGGGGCGTGCCTTGAGAGCACAAATATGCAAGACGTTGTATTAATACAATCTCCCCATGGCAAAGAAACCCCATCTCAAAAGAACGAATTTTTCAAAGATAGGAATAAATTTCTTTCTGTGATGCATTACATATTTCCTAAAATCATGCTTTCCTTTCACAAATATTCCACACGCATCAAGTTCCAATGTAACCCATCACCAAAGCTTACTAGGCTCGGATAAATTGGTTGGCAGGGCACTGGACTCACGTTCGTGTGAATTGGAGTTCGAATCCATCCAGCCGAAGTAAATGGTGACCTGTACATGTTAAATTTGTCGGGTAACAAAGTACTCCATGCCTTCACAACAAATTATTTATCTCTGTGGGTACTGAATTTCGGATTGATAGCTCTGGCTCAAGTCTAAATTAGGATCTAAGGTTGAATGAATGAATGTGAAAATGGGTCCGCCCTATAAAACTGATGTGACGTATGGGAGTGGCGGAAGTCGAATTCTTGGTCATAGATGGCGCCACTGGAAAAACAAAGACATTCGCACCTCCCCTGCCTTAATGGCCGACGACAACAGCAACTAAATCTTACTGTTTGGGAGTCCCACTAAATTGAAGTAAAAGTAATTGAATATATTATATGAATCAACATTCAGACATTCGTCTTGTACTGGATTTTTTTTCTTTTCAAATAACTTCTACAGCCACCGTTAGTTTTATTCCTATTTCTCAAAAAAAAGCCAGTCCTTTTCAGGTCTGTTTATGTATATCATATAATTTTTTTGTGAAAATAACATTTGATCCCATTCTAAAGCATTCTGAAATTAAAGAATATTACCCGTAAAACAGCCTTTCACACTTCTAGCCTTCGTGTTCAATACCGCATTAATGCTGCGTAAACTGCAGGGAGAAAATTTGTTGTTGTTTTTCTTGTCACCAGATGTCGCCCGAGCAAACATTATGTAGTTACCATGGTCTCCACCAGGAGTGCAGTGTAAATCGTCCTCTGGATCATGCTATAGGAATAAGAACATACTTTTACTTTAGCAACAGTTACATATATGTTACTAGTTCAAAATCATTACCTTTTTAACAAAAATGCTCTGAATGAAACTATGAACTCAGCTCAAAAAGCATATTTATTAAAATGATCATAGCTCAAAATGAAAACAACTCAAAATGTGCGTTTAAGGAAATAAACATAGCCAGTTCTCCAAGAGTTTGCAAACTTTTGGTTGCCAGTACATTACTTAACTTCATGAGGCGTTTTGAGTTCGTTTTGCTTTGATTTCGTCAAGAATTCGCTATGTACTTCCACGTTTTTAGCGGCTTTACGCATGCATATCTGCGTAACTTTTAAAATCCGGATATTTTACGTACGAAATTATTAAAACTCATGGATCTCGAATCACGCATAGGAGCATTCACCCTTCGATTCTCTACCACGTTCGTTCGATTTTGCAACGATTTCATTGTGAATCCATTGTTTTTAAGGCAGTTGGTGTTTCGGATTTCTAAATGTTTTCTTTTATTTTCTTATTTAATCGGATATTATTATTACACAACTTAATTTTCAAGCGAACTCAAATTTGAGGAATAAGCGACGATATAAATATAAGGAAAAATCGAATATTTTCTCGAGAAATAATCGTTTAATAAGATATATAATTGTTGAAAATACAGACGAGAATGGGAGGATGGTACTGCTTAAACTCAATTCTCAAACCTATTTTTTATAAATATTCAAATAAAAAAAAATGTCAGATCGTAACTAAAAAGCTAAAAATATAGTCGCCATACAAAATTTATTGGTTGCCAATGGCGGCTGGATTACCGTATTTCACGAGCCCTGGATATAGCTGTTTAAGAAAATGGACATATTATTTGATTTCGCTTTTCAAACTTCTCTGCATGAAAAAGTTTCTTTCTCTAAAGAATAAACTAATGGGTCCAAATAAATTTATAATATGATGTTGTCATTTATTTATCGAAAAACAGATGCTACGTTCGTTTATGTAATCACGAATTTTGAGCTGTGTCCAAGATATAAAAGATCCCAAACAATCTGCGATGTATGTACCCAGCCACCTTGACACCAAAACCCGAGACTTTGCCACATAATGATTATTCTAAATGTTTAAAAAAGCAAGGAAAAGTAAGTACAAAATTCCTCGTTTATTTTTAAAATTTGAGCCAAATGATATAAAGGTGCATTTTTTTGTTGTGTCCATTTTCTCAAGCAAGCTTTTTTTTTAGCTGTTTCCAGAATAAATAGCTCACTTATGATGCACACTTTCATTGGCTAACTAACTTAAGACTCAATTTTACATCTTAATTACTATAAACATATTAAGCACTTCGTTGAAATCACTGAAGTTTTCAGGTTTAATCAAATGCAACAGTAATCTGCAGGTACTACATTCGAAATTAATCTGCAAAGTCATAAGGCCTATTTACACGGTCCAATTTCTTGAATCCGAGCAATTGGACGGATTTCTCTGTCCAAGAAATTGGATGATTCGTTGACACTATCCAAGTTCTTGAATGTCGATGATTCGTTGAAAGAAACACTTGCGCATGAGCATTGTTCATATTCAACATTATAAAATAATACTTACATAAGTTTAAAATTACTAAATAAATTCAAATAAAATCATAATAACACAAATAAACCGCAACAGATCAGTTTATTTGGACTAAAATATATGAAAACAGACAAGAAGATGACATAATTTGCTGCCTGATTGTTGACGTCACAAAACCTAAGACGCTGATTGGTTAAGGGAGAAAAAACTTGGATGGAAAGTAGAACATGCTCTACTATCGTCCAAGAAGTTGGACCAAGTTCTTGGATGTTTGTTTACACGATCAAAACAAATTTGTTCTTATAT